GAGTGTTTCTATTTCTCACCATGCTTGGGAGGCGGTTAGGAATGCATCAGAGGTGCCGATATTGTGACTAAGTGTATAACGATAGCAAGAAGTGAACGCAATTCTTCTTTCCTTGGAAAATAAAGAGAAATAGTAATGGGTATGAAAAGCCCACATCACAATATTGTGGAGGATAAAGATGAGATAAGTATGTGGGGCATGCATATTATCAGCACTGTTCATATGCCTTTATACATATACATGAGGATCAAAGCAAGGGAAATGAGTGACTTTCTGTCAGTGTTTCGTCGCCTGAAAGGACGTGAAGCAGCAAGATCTACAAATCGGAATTGGTCGTTAGGTAGGGAGAGTCTTTGTTCTCTACATTGTCATCCTCTTCCATCATCGACTGAGCAGCAGCTGCTGCTGTAAGAGTCAGTGAAGAAGTCATAGATTCGGTCAGATGTGAAACGATATAAGACACAAGAAAATCACGAAGACCCTTGGCCATGGGAGTCTGGCTACAGATGGCGTTTCTGCGTTTTCGTAACTTGACTCGAATAAAGTTAGGCGCCGGAGAGGCACTGAAGGGATCAGTTGAGGCTGTGGATGGTGAGGCCGTACAGGACTCGATTGAAGGGCTAGGAACGGGTGAAGCTGGAGGCCCAGGGGGAGAAAAGACGGAAACTACGTCACCTAATTTTCCACCATTGTTGAATTCAGCACTATTTGCAGAAGGAGGGCGCGGTATCTCAGGGGAGTGGGCGGAAGGAAATCGGATTTCGCATTCTGCCCCACGGACTGGTGTAGCACCGGCAGAATTGGAAATTCGTAAGGGTGGAGACGAACAACATTTTGAATTGATGGGAGGGTATATAATAGGGATGCACAGACCGGTGTCGCGGTTACGTCTCGAAGAGCCACGAAGCCTGTGTGTGCCATGAAGACTGCATCGAAACCCTGGAGCAATATTAGCCCGAAATTTATTTTAGACAGATGGTACTTTCAAGCAAATTAAGATGCTCAATTTCGTAGCTTTTACCTCAAAAATACTTGAAAATACTGGTAGACAAACTCAAGTTGTTTGAATATTGGTGGATTCGCCCAAACTTGACAATTAAACATAAGTTTCGAAATGACATTTGACTTAACATGTATTTGAAGAATTAACAAAGGAATTTCTAACTAACCTTTTTTTTGAAGCTGGAAACGATGCATACTAGTCCTTACTTATCTCGACGATGACCATTGATTGGTGATGAAATAATTACCACACGACTGCTGCGTTATATGCACAAACGCACACGCAAGCCTTTCATGCAGCACAAAATCGGTGACAGCAGAAATGCGACTTTTCGAACGATTTCTGATATAATAAATAACCAAGAATGTTTATGATAGGTAAAACTTGTTATTATAAGCCAAGTAGCTGACAACCAACTCCAACATCTCAGTGACCGCATTGCTTGTGCGAAAATTAAAATGAAAGTTGCTAGCGTTATTCAGAAGTTCTTTGGGAATCTGCCACACTGTGGTGGGCACTTATTTTTATGGCACACCACGGATGCTTGCCGCAGTGTGCCAAAAATATTTAGGAATTGTGATTGCTTAAAATCGATCCTTTTTCCAAAATTACACCAGCTTCGTTTTGCAATACTTTGTTGATGTGACCACCTGATGTATGACGTTCGCCCTCGAACGAATAGACATTATAATATATGCTAGTTTGTTTAAGTGTACTTTTATAGGTGAGAGGCGGGAACCAATTGGAAAGGGAAGCACGTGCGCGAAGCCGGCGAGGAGCCTCCCTCCGATTGACACCTCCCACTCATCTCATCTGTATCCCATTCCCCATCCTTCCTAATAGCAATGCCCAATAAATTGTCTGCAACCAACTTCCTCTTGAAGTCTGAGGATCAGGGACCAGAGGGTAGACAGGCAGATCTTACAGACATGCCCTCGGTTTAAGCTCAGGCATAATCCCTTTTCTCATCCTATAGTAAACGTACTCAGCGCAAAGCATTGCCATCTAAGAGGTAAAAAGCCTTTGGACGCTAAACTATTAGCGGCCGAAAACGAACATAACTTTATTAACGAATTCCATTTTAGTGCCCCCGTTTGTGGTGCAAATCCGTGATGTGGAGGAGGCACAGTTACATCTGTGGTGGGAGAATCTTTGAACTATTTACAACAGATAGGTTGTTGTTTTTGTGACTACTTGACACTTATCGGTCACTTTAGAATTTGTCTGACCTCTGTATACGTGGGCTGGCCTTCGGACCACGCTCAGGTCCCATTTGTCCTGTCGTCTCCGGAATACGTGCATTTTACCCTCACTTATGCCTTCTACTACCCTATGGGAAGCCTCGGGATGCTACACTAAGTGAGGTTGGTACATGTATTCCGAAGAGTACAGAGCAAATGGGCCTGAGGGTGGTCCGAAGGCCAGCCCACGTGTACAAGGGCCAGACCAATCCTAAAGTAACCGCTGAACCTCAGATAGTTACATAAACAAAGCATTACCTCGCAACTACAAGAGAGGTATTGACAGCTTAATCAAAATTGTCGTGAACTATCTGCAAAAGGTTTGGTTCGAAATTTATGATTATTTATTTATGATTACATTTTCCTTGTGCCATGTCTGCTTTAAACCAGGACTCCACCATCTAGTCTTGGAAGTGATCGATGTCCAAGAGACATGTACGAACCCTATTCTGGCTGTCAGATTAAACACAACTCTAGATCCAGTGGAATCTGTTGCAGAAACCAGGTACCATTCCTCATTTTCATGGTATTTGTTGACTGGATTGCTGTGTTGGCTGAGGTGGAAGGTGCACCAAGAAAAGAAGCAAGGGTGTAGTCCAAGAAAACCGAGGAATAGTGTGGTTTTTACTTGAAATGACCATTTGATTTCTAGCGGTTACTTTTCTATTCAGGCCGAGCTCAGGCATGATCCCTTTCCTCACCCTGGAATACATATATTTTTGCAAAAGTTAATTATCTTAACCTGGTTACAGGACTCAAGTTTCTACAAAGTCTGTATGAAGACAAGAAGCATTCCCATTATACCAGCATTTAAATCTAGTGACAGCCGGTGTAATTTAAGAACGCCCAAAAACACTATGTAATGAAAGCTCTTTTTAGCTTGAGTGATGTAAACATCGCTCATAACTTGCTTGTAGTTGGCATTTCATCGATTCTACAAAGTACATTTCCCTTCAGTTGTTTAATACATCCACATTTTGAGGCTGTTTCGGCGCGGTCCATTTGTTGTGCCCATGGTTCGTCCAAATGTCGGTGTTTCTCGGGACGTAGTGAAGTTTTGCAAATCTCTACAGGCTCGTGGTTGCTCAGCAAAGTGGGATTGGGCGAAGGTTCTTGAAGTACTGCAGTCAGATGGGCAATGTGGAAATGCGTTCCTTAGGGTATGTGAAGCTGGAGTTTACCATATGATGTATTGCCGTCCTGTGGGCAAGAATACTACTATGTGCAAGAAATTGCACCCACTGGATGTCCGCATGTTGGAGTATGTAGGCGCTTGCTTTTCGCGTTTAATGCTTGCTGGCACTGTCTCCAATCGTGTAGATAAGTTTGGAGTGTTGCTTCAACAAGTAATCTCCACACTCTTGGACGCTGCTATCAGTGCATTCAAACTGTCGGGCTTTAATTCGTCTGCTTTAGAACCTCTATTATCACTTCGAGATCCGAAGTCGGAGTTGTTACCTCATTTGCTTCCGATGGATAACATCGATTTTTCGAATAAACTCGGGTTGGCCTTGTGCAGGATGCACATCCTTTCCAGCATTCTTAGGAGTACTTTTGAATGCGGGTCAACCACTGTACTCCCTGTTTGCCTTCCGTATATGTGTTTTGCCTTTTGTGCGATATTTTCCACAAACATATGCGATTCTCGCTACTCATCGTCTCCCTTGATTATCTGTGCTAAACATCTCCTCCATTCATTTTGCGTTGTCGTCCGGTCCTGCGGAATTAACATTTCTCCAGGTGCTCCCCCTCTTGTGACTTGTTTGATTTATCAACTGGAATGGTCTTCCCAGTTTGCTCAGTCGCGTCCATCCAAGGATTCATTAACCTACAAGTTGGCTGTTTATCGCTGCCTCTCCTCGATTCTTGACGTAACTGGCCAGGCCCCATCCTCGTCTCTCATCCGACTTACTTCCCGGATAATTTCGAGTGTATGTTTTGACATATCCCTCGCAGCTGGAGGTAGTCTATTCCAATCTCTTACTCCTAGTACAGAAGATTTAAGCAATTATGAACTCCATGTTTGCTGTGTTGCTGCCTCCATTCGTCTAATTGAACTGCTCTTCGTCAACCATTCCTTCATATTAATGCATTCACTGGGTAGAATCAATAATCATCCATTCAGACAAGATAATGGCTTCAGCGACTATAAGATCAAACAGGCTCTCCTCTCTTTATCCTCCGAACTTCATAAACTAGCCGTGCGCCTTGTTAATCTCCTTAACAAGCCAAATAATTTGACGCCACTGGAACAGGTTCTAGTGAAACCACACTTTCTCATACCCTTCCTGAATGCAGCAAGCGCTGTTCAAGGCTATGGATTTCTATTTTCCAAATCAAATGCCTTGCACGAACTATCAAAAGTTCTATTAAGACACGACGACCCTCTGGTCCGGATTAATGCAGAGCGCTATCATCGATACACATTCGTGAACCCTGCTCCCTTAACCCTCACAAAATCAAACCTCTGTGATGGCAGCTCCGTTTCTTCATTCACTCAAACTGAACAATCGTTCGGACCTTTTGCTTTGATACAGGAGGAGAAAGACCATGTGACTCCTTTTGAAGTAACGCAAGAACAGGCACAACAAATTCACGAACCTGGGGTCGCAAACACAACGTCCAAACCTAGCAACTATGTTTCAATAGCGAGAGCCGAGACGACAAGCGAAAATACTTGTGAGATACCATTTCAAGAAACGGACAGACCCTTGACTCCTCCGAAGGAAAGTTCTTTAGTTGAAACACTCGCAGTCTCGAAAGGAGGAAAAAGACGCGTAAGCTCAGATGACTCTCCTCCGATTTCCGCTAAGAAGGCGACCCAGGATATCGCGACTCAGAGGTCAAATCAAGAAACAGTTTCTCTTCCAGAATCATGTTCCAAAAAGCTTAATACACCTGAGGAGGGCTCGCCATCGATTCAGGATGTTTTGTATACATTTGATGACACGCTAATATAGACTCTCTGGCAATGTATTCACCTCAAAATGCATTAAGAGAAATTGCGCATACAGAAGGAAAATGAATAATGTTTGTGTGAGATTTTGGGTTTCTCAGGAATTCACTTGTAGGTAATTTGAAACCATCAGTGAACAAATTGAACAGGCTTATTGTAATGTGGGATAGCGACTACATGAACTGCTCGAGTATTATTCAGTCAAGACGTAGAAGATAGTTCCGAAGTGCCAAACAATATTTTACAAAAGGATCAGGACATGCAATTGCAATGTGCCACCACATTGGCTTTACCCAAAATTAAGTATTATCTTGGGTAGCTACCGCTTTTCAAAGATCCAGGCTACATTCAGACCAGAAGGACCCAAGGAGATTGATCTAGAAGAATATGTGGTTACTCACATTGATCGAATGCGAGTCTTACCGTATTGTGCCGTCCAAACATTTGTAGAAATGGAAAAAGAGTAGCAGCGCATGGTACAAGTTGTACCGACCCTAAAGCCCACAATTACACAAATGATGAGGGACAGAGGAGGGGGAGTAAGAAAATATGTGAACGTACCGGTGGAAATGTGTAGATAATCCCATCAATGACAACCTTGATCGATGGTGGCTGAACTGCGGCTACGTAGATTTGAGCGTTATACTTGGACTTCAGATCTGGGAAAAGCCTTTTGTAAGACTTGAAATGAAGGCAATGAGTGGGCTCTTAGGGGCTTACCAGGCTTATCAGGGCTACGAACAAGGTGCAGTTGTCCAAAAACGCCGCCTGAGAGGCATTTTGCGTGGGGAGGAAGAAGGCTATCCATATAGGTAGAGAAGAGATGTAGAAGAATCTACGTGTATCGAACAAAGGCATGAGCCTCGAACCACGTGGACTTTGCATAGAAAGTGATAGATATTAGCACTTGCCATCGTATCATTGGGTAGATAGTCCTTCCATGGAGAGACAGTACTTCGAGAACCAGAGTCCCATCTAAATTCGCCAAGGCAGCTCCCTCGAGCCAGCTCTAAAGCGAAGCACGAGAATTTAGATTGAAACGCAGTGTGCACGACAACAAATAGGAAAGCGCTCTTTAATAGAATAGTTAATGGACTAGCATATGTTTACAAGCCTTAAAAAAGCCGTGAAAGATTAAAATTCAATGCATTTAAAGCTTTGACCTTGTAACCGAAAGACTAGATAGCTCTGCTCCTTAGTAAGCTCCAGGAACCGAATAAGCGTTGGAAGGGTGACAATATGCTGATACCGTCCCTTTGCTAACTGTTCAAGTGTATTCAGCGTGGTTGCTAAAGGCAAACAGAAGGAAAGCATGTGAACAACGCAAGACGAAGGAGGAGGAATGGTAACAACTCACATCCAATGAGTACGGCGTCATCTGAAAGTTTTGATATTTTCGCATTCACTGAGGCAATTTCATCAACTACACGACGAAGAATGGTACCATGCAACCACTACGAACAAAGAACATTATGAAAACAAGTGGGAAACAAACAAAAGACGAAAAATGATATGGGATAGGTGAGCATTCACCCTGCGAATGTCCACTGTCCATCGGTCCAAGTCGAGGTCGGTCACATTGTTAGTTTTCCAGTACTGAAAGAACAGAGAATCCACAGCCCATAGAGAAAACGTATAGATGGCCGAACACCTTAATAGTCTTGAGTTAAGTTACAATTTTGGTGACATGACCGCCCATCCATGGCCATACAACCTAATACGACAGGCTTCACTACCTCAAACACGATTCTCAGCGATAATGACTTACTCTTCGCCAATAAACATGCTTGATTTGTATCCTATCTCTTGACAAAAAAACATTTGAACGTTTACCAAATGTAAGGAAAAGCTATTAAATCATCCTACTTCAGAGGCGTTTTTCTCTGGCGCAGTGGCAACCTTTTGGCCACGACACATCAACCTCTCAAATCCACCATCGTCATCACTTCCAATGGATGAAAAGCCGTTACCACCAAGAGCACTATCTTTGCGATCACTGGAAGTTGAATTGATGCTCCTGGCAAAGTTTTTGCCAATATCCAAGCAACTGCTAGAACTGAGGGAGGGAGAAAGTTGGTACTGCAACGGAACAGTCATGGTGGAGGGCGAGGTGGATGAGTAGGTACCCCAACGTGTCAATGAGGTGCGACGTGGCGTCGCAGTTGCTAGGGGTGACGACCAACTCTGATCGGAGCGAACGGAAAGATTGAAGCTGATAGCAGAGGTTGACCTGGCTGAACCACCTGCGATAGCCTGAGTTGGCGCTGCAGCGAACAAGTGATCAAACTGAGAATATAAATGGAACCCAGGAAATTGGCTGCATTGTGTCGAATCATGATCGCATTCCTTTTTGGTCTCCAATAATCCAAACCTCATGATAGTAGTATGAAGTTCCGGTCTGTTCTCCAATTCATTAGACCATAAACATGTTAACTCGAAAATCTTGAATCTTAGGACCTTCAAGAGTAGCATGCACTATACTAAAATGTGGAAGAACATATCTTCTTGTATGTAGTTAGCAAGCAAAATTGCCCCATTATTTCTAATCTACAGCATACTTACACAACAAAACGTCTCAAGTGATGAAAGGACTTACAAACAGATATGTTGGGTTGGGAGGTATCACCCAAAAGACGCATAGTAGAGGTTTTGCTAGGACACCACGACGTTCGACTACGATCCACCATCATTTGATTTGCTCCTCTGCTAGTTGATAGGCTTGGAGAGGAGAAGCAAGAGCCGAAGACGGGCGAAATGGAAACCGATTTAGAAAAAATGGTAGGCCCGAATCGGCCCTTACGTACTGAACCGCTGTTAGACGATTTGATTGCTAAATTACATGCAGTAAGTCAATACATAAAAGCCGTACCCCCTGTCCCTCTCGATTCAAACAAGTTCAATGAAGTGCACAAACAATAGATATATCTTGCAGTCGAAATGCAGGTAAGACACAGCAGTGACACGGCTACGACAACGTCATTAATGAAACGACTGAACTCACTTATTATTTGTAAAACTAGGAAACCTAGACTTACACGAGGATAATGCAAGAATACTGCACCCGGATTCCTGTAATGAATTATGCAACCATAAAACGAAATCTTACAAAAAAGCCGATAGCCATAGAGCAGCAATAAGATTGACAACGGCCCATAGGAATGAATGGAGAATGTCATTTTTCCGAAATCTCTCAACATTTCTGTTAGCAAAGCTTGCATCTTCCCAAACCAATGAGTCCATGACAGTCTGAATGATAAAATATTAATTTCGCGCGATTTTTTGAGACAGTGAACCCTATCCATAAGGATAAAAAATATTGTAAACAAGTAGACAGGTAAAACAGAATTACCAAGATAGGTCAACCGGCACATGGAAGTGGAGAAAAGAGTTATCACAATAATACATTTTATAATATTTGACCGTAATTACTTTAGTGCACGACAGATTCAGAGGAGCGTCTACCAAGATGACTTCGTGCTCTTGCCCAAGCCGTTAAATAATGCGCTTCGCGAAAAGGACAGATTAACAAGTGTTTCCTAAATTTAATCATGTTTTAACAATGCCCTAACGTTTTGTTCAAAAATTTTTGCCCGAATCATCAGTTGTAAATGATGGATCAGTACACCCATGGTAGTGCACTATAAAATTTGCTTGAGGCAGTAATTGCGGTCATCAGGTAGACTGCATGCAAGGCCAGTATTTGTGGCCGTTCAATGCTGAGACCATTTTTCAGGTGCTGAGGGTCTGGGAAACTGTGAGTAGGGCTATTCTGTAATGTCTCGAACACAAGAATATCAAGTACTTCTTTTGAATAGCCTCTGAATCTAAGTAGACGGAAAATTAGCAGACCTTCGCTCATTTTTATTGCAAAAAACACACTGTGGGTTTAGTGAATCACAATCTTTGTGGCCGTTTTACCAGTGAGCATAAATACAACCATTACGTTTGAAGGGGATTAATGCCGTCATGTCCGAATATTTCGCGATAGCACACGCCAAATGGATGTTTCGTAATGTGTTTGTCATATATGCTAGCGTTTAAGTTGTCCTTTATAGGATAGATGCGGGAACCGAATTGGAACGTAAATCCCGTACGTGAGGACCGTGGGAATCGCTCTCCGGATGGTATCTGTTATTCGGCTCATCTATACTTTTATCCCCATTCTTCCTGCATTCAATGCCTAATAAACCTACTGCAATAAACCCTCTCCTGGAGTCCGTGGTTCAAGAACATGAGAGTAGGCAGGCAGTCCCTACAGTGCCATTTGAGAAATTAAAAAGCAGAGGTGGATTAATATGTCTATAAATTTGACTCTTTTTCCAAAAGTTATACTTCTGCTAAAATGAATTCCTTTTTATGCTTAGAAGCATTTAACTTCATTTGTAATCTGCCTTCACATATACAGCTGTTAACAGCCGACGCTTCGCTATGACGCCAAGAGTCAATTTTTATTTTACTGGATCGAGAAGGCTGCCTTTTGGATTTAGTCTTGCATGCTGGCATCACTGCTGTTAGGCTTCGGGCCTTTTCCTGGTTGGTCATGAGTTTTATCTATAAGTAAGTGAATTCACCACTATCGCACGAAATGATGGAAGACAGCATCGTAATTTCGGAAGCATAGATAGCAAGACTTAAAGTCTGTGAAGTTACACACACATTACCATCTAGTGCAGCAAGAAATCACGGCCGAATGGCAGAAAATATATTACTTGCATATGCTGGAGGCCATCTAGTCGAGTAGAAGGGCGTTCTGCGCAGGAATAATTACTGGCTTAATCACTCACCGAGGTGTGAGCTTTGTCGAAGTCCTGTAAATTATTAAGGTAAGAAGTCGTAACAGCAAAATATTTATTGTAGAGGGTTTAAGAAATGAGTGATACTGTCACAAACGGCTCCAAAGTTTGCGTACATTCTCGCTCATTTTGGTGCGCCGAAGTTTTGTTGACATTAGAAGTTTCAAAATGGCACTGCTGGAATTTCATCAAAGTTTCTTTTTAAAAGCAAGGGATACTGAAAATCTCATGTAGAGTTATGAGTGCCTACTTGACGCGTCCTGAAGATCAGCAATCTGCTATACGAAGACACGATAATACGATACTAGGGCAAAATGTACATGCTCCTGAAGTGTAGATACGTAACAAAAATACAAATTTAGACAGTCGAAAGAAAGCCAAATTAATTCTTCCTTTCATGTCAACGACTTCGATCCGCCCACGCTTGACAAGTGAGTTCTGGAGGTGGAGATTTCATTACAAAGCCTATGACATTTCATTAACTTGAGTGGTAAAGGTATAACTGTAGCACTCTAATTGTTAGTTTAGCGCTTATTTTTGCTGGCGAATGGCTTAGGAGGCTGCACCAGTGGCCTCTGAGTCAAGCCAATCTCCGCTAGCCCTTCTGTAGGAAAAAAATAATTAATTCACCCAAGTACTATGACCTCATCTGTCCTCAGAGAATCCTGTAAGCAGTGTAGGTAAAGTCTTGACTTCAATCGCTTTTTCCGGTGTTTCATGTACAAATTGCCGATTGCTTCAGCCCCGTCCAAGTTGAATGACTAAAAGAAAGAAAAGTGTTTGCAACTATTTTTCTCAATACTGCCAGCTATCACCAGTGGGTGTAAGAAAGGAACTTCAGCTGTCAATTTGACTTCACTCCCCACGACTGGTCTTTAGCTTGTTTTGACAACCTGCAAACTATCATCCTCATCTAGCATCTGTGTGTTCGCTTGGGACATTTTAAAACAAGACATCAATTCCATTCACAATTGTGAAGTGTGAATTTGTGTCCTATGCAGATGGCATTTAAACCGTTGGCATTCATCCCATCTGGTCACCGACATGTTCACTCACGAGGAAGTGCTTTGCGTTTTGGAAATAGATGATGAACATAATGGATCTGTAAGTAGAAATACCATTTCAACGTTTAAAGGTATATCACGCGATCTTTGCATCGACTACGTAGGCTTGCTAAAGTAGAGGAGAAAGGTTTGGATTGAAGCATTATGGTCAGTAACGGTGTGAGATTAGCGCCGACGGAAGATTAGCCACTAGCCGTGTAAAATGTCTTCTACACCTCCCTTTAGTTCGCCCACTCTCTGTCAGCAGCCTCAAGCAGTACATTCTCAAAGTGAGGGGATTTCGGTGAATTTTTAGGCACTCAGGCTTACTTTAGTTAAGAGGAAATGGAACTCGATTTAGACATAGTAATTATAAGAGTTTTTTAGTTAAGTGAGACATATAAGTTTTGAGCACATTCACAAGGAGGCTGCGACGTTTAGAAGGTGCTAATTTTAATTTTGCAGGTTCAGCATCCCAACCAGGTTGCGTCGCACTTGATGATGCGATCCAAACAACTCTAGTCTGCTAAGTGAATTTGTCATTTAAATTTCCCATTTTGTTAATCAGTTTATGTATTTAGTTCAAAATTCCAGAAGTCCATAGGATAAGTTATCCCGTGAAGTCTCTGAATCCACCCAGTATCGGCCGGTGCAAGTTAGTAGTCACAGTAGGTAGCTGCCAAAATGTCTTACAGATTTTACAAGCACGTTTCTCTACTAGTATGTTCCGCTAGTTCTAAGCCTCCTTCCAGGGAAGCGTTATCAGCACAGGCTATCCCATGCATGTTCTACATTCGTTGTCTTTTCCTTAATTGACGCTGTCGCAGCTGGGGCACAGCACAAAATTGACCGTGTACTAACGTTGCAGACACCTCCGTGCCAAGGTTGTAGAATCAAAGCACTGAGCTCAATGCAATCGCTCTCATAATTCCCAATGTGGAGGAACAAAGCCTATTTGAAAGCGACTTTATCTGTTCATAGTCGAGCAGAAGAGGTTTTCGTAAACACCATACGCCTTTGCTCACAGGGTCTGAAAGTACGCATTCCATTGGGGCGGTGTTTGGCCTGAAAGGGGCTCTTAAGATGTCGATGCATTATTCGCATGAAAGAGCTGGAAAGATACTCATTCTTAATTACGTGTTTTAGAAAAGAGGTGAGAAGATCGCTCAGTACTGGTGTTCATTTTTAAATGAACATGGATAATGTTTTTAGAACCACTATAATGTGTCATGTTCAAAGAGAAGAAGAACAGTAATTGTGAACAAAGCAGAGGTGGATGCTACCACTAGTACTGCCTTTGAGGATGATCATGTTAGTACGTTTGCCCCTCAGGCGTGGCCTTGCATTTCTCTAGCTTTTCGGTAATGTCAGTGGCTTAAATTTATCAGGATTTGTGCTCCGACTTTCCTCCAGAGATTGACACAAAGCAGTTTGCGCCAACTCGTCTACTCTGTACTGGGAACGCCGTGCCTTGTAAGTGGGCAAGTCTCGACCACAGCCCTTCACACGTTTTGTTAACTCTTGGTTTTGGTTCTATGTCCTCTTAGAGCTCCGAAGTTGTACAATTTTACTGGTCAGGTCTTGACACAACACACTGATGGTGATGAAATCTGTTACTAATCTTAACGGAAAACATAATAGTAGTACGAATTTGTGGAGGAGAGAAGTTTTAGTTACTTCTAAAGGAGGGCCTAAAATGACGTTCACCTTCGCTAACCACCTCAGTGCATGATCTTCAAGAAAGCGATTGACAGCTAAGCTGCCTCAGGTATTCACGGGAGTATGCTGATGAGGTTGCAACCGCAGTGGCTAGTTCATGGGTGTTTTCCATTACAACGCCGTCTAGGTTGCAACGACCCACAGAAGGGATGATTAAGGTGGCAGTACATTGGTTCGCTTGTTTGCTTTAGCCTCCTGTTTTCATTTTGTAGCCACCTGAGGTGCTGATCTCGTTCTTCCACTGAGGAGCATGTCCTCCGAGCCGCGTCGGCAGCTCCCTGATTGTGTTATCCACCGGCAATGCAATTTCTATCCAAGCATTGTGTTGCACTCCTTTAACAGTTCCATTCTCAGTTCATTGAAAATGCTGCAAACTTTATTATTTTGAAATGATGCAAAGCCTCCTTGGTTAACGTTTATGCACTTACCAAATAAGGAATTTCAATTTAGAATTTTCTTTTAAATTTGATTTTAATAATGAATACTCTAGTTCTATTTGTGAGTCATTAAAAGGGCATTTATAGGCAATTTTTAAAATAGCTATTGCGAATCCTTAGATTCTTTTCCATCAGTGCATTTAAAAGAAATATGCGTTTGCTCAAACGCATTTGTCTGCTCATTTCACAGGGGAGAATAAATGCAAAAGACGCCGTGAAATAATTTTCAATTTTTAAAGCCAACTTAATGCCAGACAATATTTCTTCCTCGAGAGAAAGGAAGAGCTTTACAATTGCAGTAATTATGGCAGTAATTGAGATGACAGACTGAATTGGCGTGGAAGTGGCTCATTGGTAAGAGTTTGATCAGAAAATGGCACTTTGAAAATTCGCCCACTACCTCATGCCTTCGAAGTGGCAGCTCCTGGCACTGGTAGGAAAGGGCCAACACAAGAATTCCACAACTTTGTGAGAAGTATAGCCAACCCAAGATCACTTTCAAAGGAGAGTAGAAGCCCTAGTTAGCATGCTTTAAGGCTCCGTTAGGCAAATCAACCCAAGTTTTTTAGGGCGTACACGTGAAGTGCAATTAGAGGTGATCGCCTGCTTTGCCGTCTTCTACAGAACACAACCAAATGGGGATGACTTAAGCCAGACTATTTTATTCGTTAAACCAAAGTTCACCAATTCTGATAGAACGCTGTTTCTACGGTTGGAGAGACAACAGTTCTTTTCATTGTTGAAAATCTTCGCCAAGGCAAAAAAGTCCTTCTCTTGATTAACACCTTCACCACCAAAATCTGTTTCGAAGAGCAGCCGACATCACAGGCTGAGGAGTTGCCATGTTTGTTGGTTACATTATTTATGCAAAATTTAAAAAATGGTGACTGCTTTCACTATTTGACACTTGGGAAATCTGTTTGTGATGGATTATTTGGTATGAAAATGGTTGAATAGTTTCTGCAAAGCACCGATTCTTAGTTCTCTTTCGGTGATCGCCCGCATACTTATCTTAACACTATCGAAGACTACAGAATTTTAGGTGTGTGTTTCCTTATCTTCGACATCATACTGCAATTTATTCATAACACTGGGAGCTTCAGGTTCAAGTGCTTCAAAAGCCGTGGATTTACTGCCCACGAGGTGGCCAATGAGAGGTCGAGAGGAGGAGGTGGGGGCGGAGGGTCGTTGAACTACAATGTGCCATCTGACCAATCCGCAGTGAGGGTTTCGTGGTGTACGCATGGATTGTACGAGGTACAAATCCATCTATTCAGCTACATCGTGTACATCCTATTTATTTCTCATCCCAGTACCAATTGGTGAGTGCTTCGTTTAAGCCATCTATCTGTCTGTATTGTTTTCATTTCACTCTTAAACCTCTGTTTTCCTTCCCACCAACCCCTTGCCCACCTTCATCTTGAATTTCCAAAAAATAAGAACATTTTTAGTTTAGTTTATTTGTTTGATAATCGACGTCTATTTCACTTATCATACCCTTAATTGCGTCTAGTGTCGTGATGACGGAACAAGGACGATTTCAAGGTGCTCTCATCTTTGGACTGGTGGTAGGACTTGTAATCGGATGTGTACGAGGGGAGAAACCGGACACCCTGCGCATCTTGACTAGACACCAACAGTACCGCAGTTTGACACACGCAGCGGATATGCTGAAAATGGTCAGTTTTCTTCCCATTCCTTATCCCTGTACTGCATTTGACTTTGATCACTTGTGCTAACACTTAAACCTCGTGAACGTCAATCGAGTGACACCTACCGACCAGTGCGCGTCATTTTACTACGATTGAGCACCAACTTAGTTAAACAGTAGCCAATGTGTAAATGTGGCAGCAGTAAATCAGCAGAATCTTATTCCAAAACTGCCATTCATTTCAGGGTACATTTAGCTGCTGTTGTTGTTGCTGCTGTCGTTGTTATTTTTTCTCTCAACACCGAAAAGATGTTCTGTTCCTTGTCAAAATAATAGTCTCGTACAGAGTTGCAATGGGCAAGGATGTGGTAGCGCCAACTAGGAGTGGTAGCAGTCGTAGTAGCCTTAAAGCCATTTCTGACAGCCCAGAAGGTCATAAAAATCAAGTGAACGGGGAATGGCCTCACCCAATGCTGAAAAGGTGGGCAACTTGGGGTTAATTAGACCTGACTACGAAGCACTAGTGGAGATGTTAGTCAGCGGTCAAATGGGGCCACAATCCATTGGCTAGCGGTAGTAACAGGGCGTCCTCGTGCCGATTTGAATTACGACTGTGTGGAACATGATGGTGTCAGAATCTACAGGACCTAGAATAGTGGCATCAACGAGAAAGTTTTTTATGAATAGCTCGATATTGTCCTTGTAGAAGGCAGAACCTGTAGCTCTTGATAAAGTAATATCCTCTTACTTCCGGAACTACAGACCTCAGTATGAGACAATGCATGGCTTTGAATTTCTTGATTCTAGGTTTTCTATTTCACAAACCATTCTAGAATTTTACCACACAGAGTAAAGTTTAGCTATGTCTTTGGTGCACGGTATTGGTGTGTGAGCGTTATACTTAGAATTTCCACAAGTGTTGCCTTCAAAGCTGGTGAAGTGTAATTTAAATGATAGACATGGAGCGTGAATCTGGAGAGGATTGCCGCCTCAGTGGTGGAGAAGTGTCCCACATCGGTGGAGGCGGTGCGTTCTCAGCCGGAGCTCCGTGACCTAGGCGCTAATCTCGGCTCTGAGCCCTATCCTCCAACCCTGCGGGATGGCTATCCCGAGGACATCCAAACCTCCATTATCGACCAGTGGGGATCCCAACGCTCCCACTTCAACCCTGACAGTGGATGTCCCACCCAACCCTGTGACTCTTGGTGGCAGGTAATCACCTCTCTTTTGTTTAAACTACTGTCAACTGTTAAAACTGGCGTCAATAGACAATGCAGGATAAAGTGGTAAAAGAAAGGACTACAATAAATGTCCTCAAATTTCCACGTTTCAATGAGCTATGTAAACGTTGGTCAAAAAAGGGGATCTCTTTTTCTGACAAGGTTCATTATTTTGAATATTTCATCTAGTTTGAGTTCTTTAATGTGCGTTTTTACTGTTAAAATGTGTTCGTTTGGAACATTAGTGATTTTACAAAAGGGTGAGTTAATGTGGGAAAGAACACGCTCTTCTCAATGTGCTAAAGAGTCGACTTTATTTTCCAGAGCTACTAATTGGAGTGGTTGCAAAAAAAACAAAAAATAACGTGAAATGGGTAGCAAAACTCCGTTCGAGTAAGGAGTGCCACTAAGTAAGTGCAGATTTTCAGTGAGCAACTTCACGCTTAAATTTGGTGTTCATATTATTCATGGAGCTTGTCGGAGTGTCAACGGTCTCTGATTGCTCTTTTGGAGACAAGTAAAGTTGCTCTTTTACCTATTTTTTTCAAAGATAATTTACGCTGCGAACCAGAAGTCTTGGTAACTTATCATGGGAAGTGCATGGTGTGAGGCCGTTTTTCAGCTCTCCTTTGAGGTAAATATTCTCACCAAGGAGGACTTTTTTATCGAAGTAGTTTAGTTTTTATTGGCGGAGTGATTAAACAAGGAATGTGGCAGTTCATTTATAAAGGTATACTCGGATGACAAATTGTTACGTTGGATGTTAGCTGTACCTAAATCAGTGTCTTGAAGATGGGAATTTGATCCACTGGAAGGAGGCTTGGGAACCTTTTCAAGACGTCTCAAGAACGATTTTCCACCAAGTAGATTTTCTAACCACTTAGAACGTAGTAGATGAACTACCTTGTCTGGATTTTATTAAATAATCTTGCCTTGCTTACCCTTTCCAAAGGTGTAGGTGGGGAATCGGGGAAAAAAAGAATAATAAGGCCTCATTTTTCGAAAAAATAACAATAAACTGCGGCAATTCGCCAACACAGACCAAGCGACAAACACTCTCTTGACACATGGGTTAAGCATTACCAATTCCAGCTCCTCCCTAATCCGCCTAGTACGAATCCGTGCGTGTGAAAGGAATAGCAGGTGTTAACAAACTGTTTTGCGCCTTCCTTTTAAAACGGTTTGTCTTTTTTGCCAAGGAGTGTAAACGATGTGACACTGCAATGCAAAAAGCGCCATCTCGATAGACGTGTCCTCTGCCCACCCTCGAGAACGCCTTTTTTTATGTTTTAAAAACAAATAGCTGAAGACATTAAGTATTGCATTGGAACTGGAAACTTTTGCGCATCTTGGGCGAATTACGCTTTCTTGCTTTGCGTAGGTAGTTTGGTCGAACGCATCCCAGGTCGGCTGTTCACTGAAGGTCTGTGGAGATAAATCCGTCATGGTTTGCATCTACAACTCAAGGTATGCCTTTTACATTACTTTACTTTCTTTTAACAGCAAAACAAAATAAAGGCGAGTTGTGACTTTAGTAGAATCGGTTAAAACGCCATCTGACCTCCTCCTCCTCCTCCTCCTAAGGATGAAATGCAGAAGTAACGTTCCTACCAGTCGTTCTTATTTTGTCGTAATTGGAAATGAACTTCGTAGGGTGGAAGCTTAATTCATTAAAAGCGATAGCAACTTGAATAAATCGAGGTCGGAATAGTATTGCCTGAAATAGTCGTTTGCCTTAGTGGCGATGCCCAAATAGACTGACTTGAAACCTCTTCATCAGTCATGCATTTTAGTGGGCATTTACCTATTTATTTGCAGTTTTATGAAAAAACTCAAATATCGACAGCACTTTAAGATATCATGAAAATACTGTTATTATCATCATTGGGGCTAGTAAAATTGGGCAGAAATTTTACCACGTTTGCGAAATTACAAGTGAGAATTCTCTTTTCTCCGCCAATTGAGTCAATGTGTGTGTAGCCACGCCCCTTAAAAAGACCTTAGAAAATCACTTTTCATGCATGAAAGACATTTTTTAATGAATTGTGAATACCTTAAGCTTCATTTCTCGTTCCACTTTTGGCATTATTGCAAATGCTCTTTTGTAAAGCGATCCGCTCCTATCACACACCTCTACGCTTAGCATTTTTCCCTAGCAAATTTGAAATTTTTTAGACGCTGCGAGATTTGTGGCGAGTCAAAAGCTCACCCAATTTCACTCCCACCTTCTCCTTCCTCTTATTGTGAATTCGAGTTGATTCGATGGAACATTCTTCGTTCGGGTATTTTTTTTTCATCTTACAGGGCCAATAACAACACAAACGCCCCATTCAAGATTGGAAAGGTCTGTTCTGCTTGCCCCTACGGCTACAGCAGGTGTGAGGAAGAAATGTGTGTGGCTGATAAGAATCCACAGATTGAACCGGAGCCCGTCCCAGAGTTCTCTCCTGCCGCCTCCAACACCGGCAGCAAAGTTAACACCGAGAGTACTGACAACGGCAGTGACGGCTACACAGTTCCCGACAGTACTAACCGACTGACAATCCTCCTCACAACATGCATCTGCCTTTTCCTTCTCACTCTGCTCGCCTAAAGTGACTCTGGGCTTAGATGGATATCTTTTTTTCTTTTTTTGCTTCCATTGTCTTCATTGTTTCTTCTCCACTTCCTATCTCGCTCTTTTTACTGTTTCAACAGTCTTCCGGCCTTGCTGTACACAATGATAATAACATTCACTCTTCCACTTTTTGATTTCCTTCTGTCCATTCCTACCCTAAACCTAGGCTCTATGCATCACTCGCACTCACACTTGCTCTTACCCTATACTTATGTATCCAACATAAGCCACGTCCTGTTGACTAGCTACTCGTTTATCGAGTGTATGTGCTCCCCACTCCTCTTTATGTCCTCTCCTCACTCCCCCTTTGCCCAATTTGCACAACTATCAAAGTTATGATTCGAATAACCTCTTCTCGAAGTGACGTCAGCGTGATTTCTTGGTGGCATTGATAGACATTACTGACTTTTAACCGATTAAATGATAGTAATAAACGGAAAATAACGTGGTGTAAATATTTTGATTTTAAAGAATTAAGCTAAAGGCGACTTTGCGTTTACTATTTTCGGTGCTTTGGACTTTTATAAGTCTTTATGATCGGTTCAAGTTGCCTTTAGGGAAATCGAAGTGGGTCGAAACGCTTGTTTGGCAGTTCGTGGGGGGGGGGAGAGGGGGGGAGGGGTAAACAGTTAAAATTGTTGCAGTTAACAGGACCTTAAGTTAAACAAACCTTGTGGATTGGGCTAAACATTGCACAATTTCATGAGAAAGTGGTAATCTGTAGTACTTTGTTTTTTGGGTTGGAAAGCTAGGTTTTCGACGAAAGCAGCACCATCATCGTGCTGGCTGTCACATGATTCCTTAGCAGTGTTTGCACCAGCACGGAGGCATGACGATGGCACAGTAGAATTATAAATTGTAGCTACATAAAATCAAGCAATTGATCAAGTGCTTCTGTCCTCCTTTAAGCGCAATAAATGTGTTGATCCTCCCATGTACCCCATCATAAAGTAATCCGTGCAGAAAGTGAAAGTCTCCTCCTGTCACTTGTGTTTGTCGTCTAATTTGCATATAACAGAGACCACATCGGACTGCAATGCAGATATCTCATCTCTATGCTTCTGTTGGGCGCAGACTTTCGCCCTGTTTGAAAACTGCAAACGAGCAGGGAAAAGCGCAAGCGGCCACCGATGTGTTGCCTGCAAGACAGCACGGACACCAGTCCCGAGGTCGAGTTGAAAGGAACCCAATGCCCAGTCAGAATAGATATTATTAAAATTAAATATTTACGCAAAACTCCTCATTATTCCCCTACCAAAACCGAGTTTTAATCAAATGCTGAGTCCTTTGGTAAAGCCACTGATTAAGTAAGGCGATTGGCGTAAACATAATGGTAATATTTAAGCTAATAATTAGTTGTGTGGAGGCCCAAGTCAAGGATCACCGCAGTTGCATTTAAACTTTCATATGCCCTTAAAGCATCATTTGCAATTAATTCACATCAAACATAGCGAGATATTAGGGATGTTCTGCTTCCACCTTTTGGGAATACAGAAAAGTTTAAGGTGATGCATTGATTTTTCAAATGGAGTTACTTTATACTGAAAACCGGAAGTGATATTAAGTCCTGTAGCAAGCAAATAAGTCATAAAAGGAAATCCTTTAAGAAGGTTCTGAGGATTACTTATTCTAAACTTAATGCGCCTTTGCGATGACGCTTGTTACGGTGGCGTGCCCTCGGACAAGGGCCACGGCACCATGCGGTTGTTGCTGCGACCTGCAAGTAGGGATGGGCTTGGGGCAAGTAATCCCCCACGGTAACATCATCTTGCCCATACAGTTAGACACACACACAATTAACAAAACAAAAATAGTCCTAGCGGTGGGAGTGCGAGGCAAATCTAGATGCTACAACACGCCAATTCACTTTCTGCAGCAGTTGCTTTAGACATTCCCACATACGTAAAGGCTGAACTCCCTCAAAGGTTGATATATCATCGGCTTACGAATATGACCAGTCTCTGAAGATATTTTACATCGCAAATCGGGTTTACCAGCACCTTAACCAGCCTCGATGAGAAAATGGAACAAGTGAATACAGATAAGAAGTTGTTCAACCCGACCTCCGATTCCTTCTCCTTTCTTGTTCACAAAAGAACTCATTAAGTCGTCAGATGTTAGGGTCTTGACGAAAAGAATTAACATGCATTGCCAAGATGTTTGCTCTACCACAGACATTAAAGAAGAACTTTTTAATATGAAAGGCGTAAACTTGCTTTAAATTCATAGACCTCCAACAACAAGGCCATATAAAAATAATTTCTTCAGATACGTGTGATGTGAACCCATTTAAATTAATAAGGCCCTTCGTGCATGAAGCCTTTGTGGCGATACAAAATGCTTTTGCTTTGGGTGCCAAACGATTTAAGCGCGGGCAAGAATATCCCATTCACACAGCATTTCCTCCTATAGCATTTACCACAGAAACTATGGTTTTTTGGATGGAGAAAAAACTTCATCGACCACACGTATCACACCACCGAATAGGCAGAAAGATGGATTTGTGGCGGATCACGCACACTGCCGATGCAAAGAGGTCCAATTTGTATTTACTTTCTGTGGCTTACCATTTTGCCCTTAAATCTTTTAACGTTTGGACGCCTGACAGTGGAAACATGCGCAGTGGCGTTACCAGAGCTAAGAGGTCATACGACAAAGGAGGGATTAACCGGTTCATTGTAAGGATCTTGGAGCCCTCAGTCAAGTGCCATGAGCCTGCCTTATGACTGCGTATTCATACAAATTTCCCCGAAGAGATCAGATAAGAAGCGTTATGGTGGTGCATGTGTCGAGAGCCCTTTTCTGCCCACCTTATTCCTATTAGTGCGCAAAAATGCGGAAATAAAATTACTGCTGATTCCATGAGCGGGCACTAATTTTACATTAGGTAGTGGCCAGGGATGGCCAAAGTTGAATGTAATGTAATGGAGGCGACATGAAGTTATTTATCTGAGGCTGCGCTTTGTTGCTAAATTAGCTACAGAGTTATGCACTCTGCGAGCTTAGGCCATTGCAAAAATGTAATTTGCCACCCCAACAATTTGATAAAATTTGCAATACCGATCTACGAAAGAGCATGGGAGCTACTGACTCTAAGTGGCTTCGTGCTACAAACTGCGAGTTAAATGAACAATTAAAGTGTTTCACAGTCCCCTTTGTCAACCTATCGAATAGTCCGTCATAATGGAACTAACAACGCAATAGAAACATCTATCAACCAAACATTGGAACTCATTTGAATTTTCGAACAGCCGAAAAGATAATTTACCGTAAGGCCAATGGTCCACGACATGCATGATCAGAAACATTGCCTTACTTACGAATAATGTTGAGATAAGGCGAGTGCTCAACACTTGTTTGCCCTTTGTTAGCCATAAGAACGCTAACTATATAGTAGTTAGTGCGAACGGGCAAGGCGTGAAATAGCATCGTGGCAATAAGGCCTCACGTCTGTTCCTCCTCATCACCCTGTTCCCACTACTCTGCTGCTCGACATACACCTTTCTACTTGGAGTCTGGTTAACTGGTGGATTTGTGAGCAGGCACTGCGTGCTCCCTTGGTTACTTCCATAAACAGTTCTGTGGCAAGCATTTTTTTGATGGCTTGTATTAAGGCTTGTGAGGCTTCCAACGTTAGTACCTTTTCAACATACCACGAGACTAAACCATTTGCAAGAGTTTTTTAACACACTCCATCGACCACAGTGTGGTGTAACAACAAAGGTCTGGATGACAACCCTTTAAGACCACGTTCGCCTTAGGTACTTACCAGAAGGCAACGTGGTTTGGAGACCATGTCGGCTGGATAGAGTCCCAAAACCAAGTCGGCACACACATACAAAGGACTAAAATGCATCGCACCGGGAGGATAAACAAATTTGTATTTTAAATTAAAATCGTAGTTGTAAAAGTTGTAGCGAATAATCGAACTTGGCTGCTAACTTGCATAAATTTTGCTCATCTAAAACAGTCATAAGGCGTAGCTAACTTCAGGAAAATAATATAACAATTTACCACCAAAAATAGCAACAATCATTTGCCACGAGACACGTAGGTAATGTTAAGGCTGAAAATTTGTGCTTTAGGAAGCCGAATTATGACAACTACACTGCCTAAAAGCCCTTTGGTTGTTAATGCGGTGTCATGTCTAGGCTTGGATGTCTCCAGACCTTCCTCATGCTATTACAGCACATCTTTTCATCGCCAAACTGTTCTGGAGCGACCCAAGTGGTGCAAATGAATTTAATCCAGTTAAATGGGTGGACATCGAACTGACCTCTCCTCTGATTAATTCAAATGTCGCATGACTTTAAATGAAACCAAATTGCACTGGAGTAAAGAGGCAGCTTTGATACCGCCTTTTGTAGAAGATGCGCAGTTGTCTGAGTAATGCATCAAGAGACGTAGGCTTCGCAGTTCCCCGAAATCAGCTGTTGAGTCGAAATTGAGAGATTCATTTGGTGGTCGCATTATCTGGACCCTTTGGAATGGAACCCACACGCAGGGCTTGCTACGATCTTGGGAATGCCTCAAAACATTCAACTTTTTATTGGTTAACTTCCACTCGACACAATTTTCTGCCTCTTTTCCTTTTCATCCTCCTTTTTTTAATATTGCCACATCAGAGGCGGAAGTGTCCCTTTTTAAGTGGGCTTTTAGCTATTCCGCTTTAGTGACATTTAACCTTTATTAATATGCATTTTGGGATATTACATGCACATTATTAGCCGAAATCAAAACAAAACCTGCGTTGCTATTGAGGATTACCAATCCACTAGAACTTCAAAATGTGCGTAGGCAAATGTCTTTAGTAAAAAGTTCGCAGACTTCCTTTCGGCGTCTGTTGAGTGAGAGGGAAGGAGCGAGGTCTGCGGAAGGGAAGGATGCGTAGAGGGAATTAAATGAGACGCTTTCAAGTGTTTCTTGCTACCACCTCACCATTCCGTGTACAACATTATCGGAACTGCACGAGGCTG